TTATGGGAAAGGAGACAAGTCTGTCTGCGATAACAATCAAAGGAGGATCAGCTTGAATGACATAGCATCTGAAATTCTGGCTTGCATAATCCTGATTAGCAGACTAAAGGGAACTCGGGAGAGACAAACCCGTGAAAGCCAGTATGGCAGCTAGGCAGGTAGCCAGCCAGCCAGCTAGCTAGGCAGTCAGACCAGGCAGGCTTTAGGCACGAACGATGGTGTATCGATCATATCTTCTTCGCTCATCGACAGCTTCTGCAACACAGTCACACGTATTGGCGCCCAACGCTTGACATATTCCTTCATCTAAAGGCGTCATTCCACTCCGTCGACCGAGAGGTACTGTGGTAATGTCTGGCCGTGAAGGCAGTGACGAGAGAGTATATCGCACCAAGCAACCAACCAACCCACTCACTCACTCGGTCTACTCGAACTCATCCAGCCGTGTAAGAGCTAATGGAGAGTTGTCATGTGAAGTTATGAATGACAACCAGTGGTGTCCTTCGTGGCTGGCCAGTGTCTCCACTTCTATTCAACTTCATCATAGCTGTACTAATCCATGTGATCGTGATCGACTTCGGTGACTTAGGGAATACTGACTAGTTAGTTGTCAGGGAAAAGTCTCGTCAGCTTAGAGTATGCAGACGATATACTCGTCCCAGATGAGGAGTCTGACGAAGTGCAGAGTCTTGTGAGTAAATTGAGCAGAAATCTTAGCATGCCTGGAATACAATTCACCAGTGTCGAAACTGCACACGACTCATCACTTAGTTGCCTTTATGTAATAAAATGTGCACAAGGCGATGCGATGCGATGCGATATATGTGGGACAAACCTCTCGTGAAATGAAGCTTAGAATCAGTGAATACCTCACGGGCAGCCAACCGACTTACAAGAAAACTCGTAGATCGAAATTCAGGAAAGATGCCCGCCTTAGGCTCTACATGCTATATTATCAGATCACAAGATCAAGTTTGATAGCATTCAAATTATTCTAAGGTTACAGGAGACGTATGATGGTCGATCTCTCCACAAATTCCTACAAGTTTGGATCGAAATTACCCAAACAGGAATGAGAGAACAAGACACCTTGACTCGCTTCCAATCCACAACGAAAAGCCGATATTATCAACACACGTGATGAGAGTTACACCCACACGCAGGCAAAAAGAAACATTATACAAATCCAAAGACAAGTTAGGACTCAAAAAGATTAATGCTCAAATCAAATCTGAAATCAAAAGTCTTAATGCTATCTACAATGATACACTTTTATCTTGCAAATCTCCTATCAGCATGTGGAAATTTTAATGAAATTACTGGCAATAGTAAGCGTTGTAATGCTTTTCCCTCTTATGATATTAATGCTCTTAATCAGTCTTTTATACGCTGTCCTTCTACTTTAACTACTTCTAATGTTACCTATCATGTAGCTGAAAACTTTCATGACTTTAATACTCTCGATGTTGTAAAATGTCTTAAAACGCTCAAGCCCTCACGTAGCCTTGGCCCTGATGGTATACCTGCATATGTTCTAAAACAATGTGCAGATGCTTTGTGTTCTCCACTAGCCAACATCCTAAATGCTTCTTTCTCCAAAAATGTCGTACCTGATGCATGGAAAGACATTAAAATTGTCCCTATCCCTAAACCTGGAAACGGCAAGAACGTAAAGTTCAGACCCATTGCCATCACTTCCCCGTTTCTAAAGCTTATGGAAAAACTGATACTTCTTAAACTTGAACCCTCCCTTAAAAACTTTGAAGACCCCAAACAATTTGCCTATAGACAGGGTAGGAGCACTTTAGACGCTGCAGCCGTCTCACACAACAACATCGTCTCATCATTAGATAAAGATGCCAAATACGTCCGCTGCACGTTTCTCGACTTCACTTCTGCTTTTGACTCTGTACCTAGATGTCTCCTCCTAAATAAGCTCTCTTTGACAAAAACTGAGTCCTGGGTCACTAACTGGTTGCATTCCTACTTCTCTAACAGAATGCAGTACACCGTATACAAAGGTAAATCATCCTCTGCTGTACTCACTGAAGCCGGTGTCCCCCAAGCTGTTGTACTCTCACCACTTCTCTTTTCTTTCTTTCTACATGACTTACCATCTTCAAATGACATTAATTTTGTCAAATATGCTGACGACATGACAGTATCTTTGCCTGTCAAATGTCAAAGCGACTGCTCTAAACTTAATGGCTTTCTGTCAGAAATCAGCCAGTGGTCCAAGGAAAACGGTCTTACCCTAAACCCCTCCAAATGCCAAACAGTCAATTTCACCTTTAGGCATAAATCCGACCTAAACAAACTGGTTGGCTCTCACGAGGTATGCAACATAGACGGCACTGAAATAGAAACCAAATCGGAAATTAAATACCTAGGCGTCATTCTATCTGCTGATCTCTCCTGGTCGTCTCATATCTTAGCGATTTCTAAGAAAATATTCCGTCTTACCTTCTACATCAAGAAGTTAAAACATTCTGGTATAACCCAACCCTTACTCCTACAATTCGTTAACTCTCGCATTCTGCCTATTATTCTCTATTGTTCCCCCTTAGTTTTTCCCGGGCTACTGAAGAAAGACTATAACATATTACGCAGGATGTTAAAGGCTGTCAGCAGGGTAAGCAACGTGCCACTTAACCAGCTTGTTAATATTCTGGTCGACAGGCACATGGACTCATGCGAAAAACGGACTAAATTCATTTTATCTAACTCACACCACCCTCTTCACTCACAACTCTCCCCTTGCATCTCATCAGGCAAAACCAGAAGCCTATATAGAAAACTATATGCTCGCACCAGCAAGTACAAAAACTCAACCATACCCTACTTAGCTCGTGTTCTGTGTGATAAAGAAAGCATTAGGCGTGACACCTATAATTCATTAAATAGTCAGTAGTACAACTGGATCTCGTCTTTCCAACTCATATCATTTATAGGTACAACATTTTCTTTCTTTCTTTTCCTTTTCTCTCTCTCTCTTTTCTTTTCTTCCGTTATGTGCTGCTTTGTTTCTTTCTCTCGCTTACGCCAGTAAATATGACAGCTCCTACTTTTTCTAACACCTTCAAACACTGTTCAGCTTTACCTTTGCTACCGACATGCCAATGTGTTGTTGTAATAATGAACTGAGATTTCCTTAATCTATGTAGAATTCTATCTATTGATAATGTACTAACTGGATGCAATACTGTAGTAAAAATGCTGAGAATTCCATTCTGTATCACATGTACTCTGTGGGAATAAAGCAAATTACTATTATTATATTAATTTATTCAGGTACTTGATTATGCGAAAGTATCTCGGTCAAGTGAATGTGCGTAAACTTCGGTGCCATGTTTTCATCTGGTCTCACATACACTACCCCAATCTAATCTCATTTATGTCAACATTCCTCTTCGAGGAGAGTGATTCCTCGACATCTGCAACAATGTCTCGATCGATGGAACTTCGCAACTTCATCGATTCAATCACTTCCTCTACCTAGTAATCTACATCAAATGTCGACAGTTCTCATCCAACACGAAGAACTGAACAAAGACACTTTTGTTTACGAATGTTTACCGTTTTCATGTTGTCTACCTTCACCCAGTGTCCGCCTACTCATAGATTAGGAGAGGGTGAACCGCTGTGCAGTATTCATGCACTCTGATATGTCAGCGAATCTAGGACTGAATTAGCATGAGTTTACTCCAACTGTTAGCATGGGATCACTCACGATCAAGTGGTACGACTTCAGAGGTGATTCAGGATGGTGGCGATGAATCAGTGACTAGGTTAACAAAGATATCAACCAGGTAGTAATGTGTGGGAATCTGAGATAGTCCCACTGGACTGGTGAAAATCGTTGGTCATGGAAGTTTATGGGAAAGGAGACAAGTCTGTCTGCGATAACAATCAAAGGAGGATCAGCTTGAATGACATAGCATCTGAAATTCTGGCTTGCATAATCCTGATTAGCAGACTGAAGGGAACTCGGGAGAGACAAACCCGTGAAAGCCAGTATGGCAGCTAGGCAGGTAGCCAGCCAGCCAGCTAGCTAGGCAGTCAGACCAGGCAGGCTTTAGGCACGAACGATGGTGTATCGATCATATCTTCTTCGCTCATCGACAGCTTCTGCAACACAGTCACACGTATTGGCACCCAACGCTTGACATATTCCTTCATCTAAAGTTGTAAGAGCTAATGGAGAGTTGTCATGTGAAGTTATGAGTGACAACCAGTGGTGTCCTTCGTGGCTGGCCAGTGTCTCCACTTCTGTTCAACTTCATCATAGCTGTACTAATCCATGTGATCGTGATCGACTTCGGTGACTTAGGGAATACTGACTAGTTAGTTGTCAGGGAAAAGTCTCGTCAGCTTAGAGTATGCAGACGATATACTCGTCCCAGATGAGGAGTCTGACGAAGTGCAGAGTCTTGTGAGTAAATTGAGCAGAAATCTTAGCATGCCTGGAATACAATTCACCAGTGTCGAAACTGCACACGACTCATCACTTAGTTGCCTTTATGTAATAAAATGTGCACAAGGCGATGCGATGCGATGCGATATATGTGGGACAAACCTCTCGTGAAATGAAGCTTAGAATCAGTGAATACCTCACGGGCAGCCAACCGACTTACAAGAAAACTCGTAGATCGAAATTCAGGAAAGATGCCCGCCTTAGGCTCTACATGCTATATTATCAGATCACAAGATCAAGTTTGATAGCATTCAAATTATTCTAAGGTTACAGGAGACGTATGATGGTCGATCTCTCCACAAATTCCTACAAGTTTGGATCGAAATTACCCAAACAGGAATGAGAGAACAAGACACCTTGACTCGCTTCCAATCCACAACGAAAAGCCGATATTCTCGGTATTTTCGTCACTCAGTTCGGTACATGCAAACATTCTTTCGAATTTCAGGCGAATTTTCATTTATTTTGAAATTAATTTATTATTTACAAGGAATCAAATGTTAATTACGTCAGTATTCATGCTGCGTCCTTTCTTCAATTTTTTTCACAATTTATATGGTGGCTTTAATCAGATCCGGTCAAATCAACAGATCAGTTCATTAGATTGAAGAGTTCTCATGTAGGCTTCAGCTGTTTTTAACCACTTTGCATAGTTTTCAAGATGCCGACTGATAGTATTTTGAGAATTGTTTTTAGCGAATCCTTGTGATTTATAATAGTATGATTCCGAACGTATCTTCGCCAAATTTGAGGATAATTTTTCCCAATCTATAAAAGTACACTTTTGTTTATTATCTGGTAAGTTTTCTTCGAGTTTTTTAAGTGTTATTTTGTCATCTGTTGGTGGAAGATTTAAAGTGACATGACTTCTGCTTTCTGAAGAAATTTTTACACGTTTAGACTGGTCTTTTAACTTATCATCTAGTGGATACTGCATTCTGAACTTATCAAATCTGGATAGGTGTTTTATGTGATCGTGAAAATGAGTGTCAGTTATATCTATTGTAGATTCATTTTGATTTCCTTTTCCTAACATGTTGTTTGTACTTACTGTTTTCTTGTTTAGTCTATCATTTTGGTCATGCTTCATAAGAAAATAATCATCACAAGAATGTGGTCGCTTTCTGCTATAATTTGTTGACAGCTGAAGATTATGTGCTCCGTATAGTGTGATGTTTGAAGGATATTTATTATGTGAAAGTGGATTTGGCAAGCTGTTGTCTCTGTTTGTTAGTTGATCTGCCTGTAGAACACTTGAAATGTAAGAGGCATTATTTTTACGAAGTGTACTGTCTTTCTCCTTACGAATTAAAATCTTATTTTGATTATCAATATCATACAAGTGTTTTTCTATTTCATTGCACCAGTTAACTAGTTCTTTTTGCATGCAGCATAATCTTTCATTAGCTCCAAGTACTTCTTCATGATGTTTGTCCATTTTATCTAGCAGTTGTGTGACACAAGCTGAAGATGTATTATGAAGTTGTTTGTTGGACAAGGTGCTAATTTCATTCTCTTTAGTGTTTGAGATAACAGCAGTACTCTTGAATTTTTCCATTTGTTTATCTACTGGATAATGTTTGGACAGTTTTGAATAGTCTATTACCTTACTGCATTGGTTAGACTGTGTTTCCTCTGCTAGCGTTTCTGTAATGTCATGGGATTTATTCGTGCTATGCTGTCTAACTGTATTTGTCTTCATGAAATCATCTGAGTTACTTAGGTAGGGTGAATCCAGGAGATCAGCATCCACTTGATCAACCAGTGGTAAACTCAAAAGAGTCTTATTATACTCGGGGATTGTTTTGTTTAGCGTTGCTTGCTGAGTACACCTCGAATCACGCAAGGGATTTTTGTTATTTTCTGGATCCCTCTGGCTTTTCTTAAGAGGTTTACGTTCTCTGATGATAAGTAAACGTGTTTTATTGGGATTTCGAGGAATCATACATTCTTCAGACAACTCTTGATCATGTGAATGTGAAACGGTAGTCAAATCATCATTGGAAATTCGAATACGCGTGGGCTGACTGTACTTTTCAATACGAAGTAGCTTAAGGTCACCTGCAGGATTAAATGTCTTTTGATACTGGGGTATTTTTAGTAACCTTCGTGTTCCGGAATTTAAATTCACATTCCTCCTTTTCCTTTTATATTCCAGCACAATATTCCTATAATGCACATCACATGGATGTTCCCAAATAGACTGACCAGTAGTAAAATTAAAATAATATATGTCTCCATCAGTATTCATACAAGGTTTCCAGTCTTTTGGAAGTGGAGCTCTAATCCCTTCGCATACAATCGGATACAGATCTGGTTCTTGTTCTAAATTAACACCCAGCCAGTTAGCATAATCTGTAATTTCTGTCTTTGTGAATTCACAATATCGTTCATATTTTTCTTCTAGTATAACTTGCCCGTTGATGCATGCTGCCATTGGAACGCAGTTGCCAATTTTCAATTCTGTCAATGGAAAAGAATAATTTTATGCATAAAATCTGATAACATCCACACTAACAACAAGTCGAAAGCTACTTTCAACGTTTTTATAGAGTGGTAAGGTGTATAAAAGCCTCCAATTAGTAAGAAATATAAAAATATAATTTCAGTTTATATAAAAAATTCATGGCCTTCATAATGTTTTATTATGAAAGTGTTGAGTACTTTCCTTCTACTTAATCAATTTGTTGAAATATAACTTAATACCGAAAATTAATCTCGATGTGTTCATCATGTGTCAGCTGACACTGACTAACTGAACTAATATACACTAGTGTTTATTACATTAAAGCTTGCTAGCCACATTAGCTTTTTGCAAAGCACCCTATTACTCTGTTGATGTATTGAAACACTTCCTCACCTTGTTTCTTCAGCTTATTTGAGAAATCCCTGAAGCCGCTATCAGATAATGATGATATACTGATCTGAGCAGTGGGAGCGTAAAGTTAGCCAGCAGAGAATCGTTCTAAACGAAGCTATTTCATAAGTGTATTAAAACGTCGGTAGCTGCCTGTCATAAAAATTCTAAAGGGTTCAATAAAATTCGGAAATTTACTGTGTACAATTGTAAGTTTAGCATTTAACCTTCAACTATGAGTAAATGAGTCATAAAAAATTCATTCTATCGGACATTAAAGAGCAGAAGCAGTCCAAATTTAGGCTAATATGTTGTCTGCTCAGAAGTCATGAACAATAGTGGATAGCGAAAGAAAAACGACAAAGTATACAATGACTGCATAAAACGGTTGTTTAGGTTCGTCCAAGAGGCTACAATTAAAAGCCCAAAGGTTCATCAAATTATATATCTTAAAAGATGAATCGGTGTTTAGTCTGTAAAATGAATGACTAGTCTGAACCACATAACAACCCAGGTGGTTTCCAAATACAGCTTATTTTCCAAATATCCCTATGCAGAATAACTGACTTAGCAATGCGAAAACATGCACAGAAATGCATGACGTTGCTAAAACAGCATATAAAAGAGAAACCAGCAAAAATAGAGTGATATTACTGCAATGCAAAATTAGTAGGATAGAGAGCAGCTGCCTACATGGTAGTGAAAATGTTCTGATATAATAATAGTGACAACAAATAAACTGTTATGCATTTTTACTAATTTTTTTATCGACCAAAGGGCGTGTGTACTGCTCAACAGTCCGCTCCGTCCTCCTTTATGGCTGTGAGACATGGCCATTGAGAGCAGAAGACATGAAAAGATTAGCTGTCTTGGATCATAGGTGTCTGCGTTCTATCTCCCGTGTGAAGTGGTATAATAAGGTGAGCAATATTGAAGTTAGGCGTCGAGTGCTAGGTAAGGCGGGGAAATCAGTCGACGAGACTGTGAAATTACATCGACTGAGATGGCTAGGACACGTATTACGTATGCCTAGTCATCGCCTTCCTCGACGGGCAATGTTAGCTGATTTAGGGTCAGGCTGGAAAAGAGCTAGCAGCGGTAAAACGAAAACATAACACCAGCCAGTGAAATCCACAACAAATAGTCTAAGCCACGTAGGAAGGTGTAGACTTCCTGACTGGTTGGGGTCCTCGGGACGGTAAAAACCAATGGTTGGATACAATTGGTGACATGGCCCAAAATCGTTCTCAGTGGCGCAGATGCATCCACTCCTTGTGACTTATGATTTCCAATGAAACTGTTTTGATCTTCGTTATTACTATTCCTTTGTCTCACACCTCTGTTTACTGTCTATATTATGCATTTCTCCTATTTTCTTCTCTTGCTTTGTGTGCTACAGGGAGTGTGGCGACTTGAACTGCCGCACATATGTGCAAAGTTCTATGTCGAAAACCGACCGACCGACCGACCGACCTACTAATTTTATCTAGACTCTCTGGCTGAAGGTTCTTAAAATCCTTGAAGTCTTCACCCATGCAAACAGACAAATCTCTTATGGATTGCGATAGTGTCCGGAACTGGTCATTAATAGTGTTTACTAATAAATATGTACCGTATCCAAGTATAAATTTCTAATCAGGTACGATAGTTAGTAGATATATGTATATTACGTCACCACCGTAAGGTTTTTTATGTACTAGTCTATGTCGAAAACCGACCGACCGACCGAGTCTATGAGATACACATCTTAAACTATCCACCGGTATACGATGAAGTAGACGAGGTGGATCTTGATTGTTGGATCAAGAGGACTTCAAGAAATAGATTTGTAATCATGATAATTTTTATTTTTCACCCTTAAAATTACATCGATTACATCCAGTGTGCGTTGGTTTATTTCTCCACAGTGTCCATATTGTTTCTAACTGGCTTCTGCATGCTACAGTTAATGAATTTATATTAGTAGAACCTAAAGAATTTATTGAAGACAGTCTTTTGATCCAACCTTCTTTTGAATAAACTATGGAGATAATCGAAATAATGAAATAGACGTTTAGTACTTATCTCTTAGTTTTATTTCAGAGTTATTGGTCAATAATGCACCAGAAATAACCCGGAGACACTTTATGTATGGGCCTATCGTTGCATCATATCTGGCATTCTCAGTGACTAAATCTCACAGGGAGATAAAGATGATATATCTGATCTTCCATAAAAATTCATTTTTGTAAGCCATAACAGGTTTTTCAAACTCATGGTGAGATTTTACTAAATATATATATATATAACTTTCAGAAGTAGGAGTTACACGAGGTTCAGGAGTGGAGTAGACATATTATATATAGTGAAGAAAAGTTTTAGAACCTTTCAGATGGAAAAGGATTATTATTATTCTCTTGAGTTCAGAGTGGGACATAGGGCTTCAAAAACACATCTCCGCCATGTCCTATCTTCTGCCGTTCTCGTCAGCTGAGTTCAAGATTGACCATAATCTTTCATCTCCTCACAAGATCTCCTCCATGTCATTCTCGCACCGACGACCCACTCGTCGCCTCCCATTGGGATCCCACTCGAGTGATGGCCTGACACACGATGTCATTCGATGGTTTCCTCAATGTACGCCAGATCCATCTCCATTTTCCCCTATATATTTGTTGAGCAATCGGCTATTGGTTGGTCTGTTCCCAGACAGGGTTTCTTGTTAATTATTCATTCTGGTTATTTGATCTTCACTATGAAGCCAGCGAAAGAGGCAGCTGTTGATTAAAGTCTGAAACAGGCTGTTGGAAATCCTTATTGTGACACTCCGGCCGAGTTTCTGACCCGTATGGAAGGATAGACTTGACATTGGTGTTGGACAGAATCCGAGTCTTGTTATTTATATTGAGTCAGTGCAGAAGATTTCCAAATTGGTTTCAGGTTGATGAAGGCGTGCGTATCTTGTCTTTCCGATCCTGACTGGCTTTGACATCTCCACCCGTTCCGACTGCCTGTGGTTGAAACGATGCTTCCTAGATAAGTGAAGCAGGTAATCTCAGTCATATCTCTCCCCTTGGATGTTGGTGTTGGTGCTGGTTGTTGCTGTTGCTTCCGTTCTTCGGTTATCTTCATCAGCTGTGCCTTCTCTATGTTCACTTGAAGTCCTCTCTTCTCTGCCAGCCTCTTTAGCCAGTTTGTAGCTGTTCGCCTGTAAGTATTCCAGTTTGTGTAACATATATCATCGGCAAAATCTAGATCTTCTTATCGGTGGTCCAGCAGACTCCTGTCTCCTCGCTCCTCACAGTCTGACGCATAATCCAGTCCAACACAACTAAGTTTATCATCGTTGATGATAATAGGCAGCCAGCTTGTCTTACTCCTGTGTTCACTTCGAATGACTCGCTGAGTATTCCGTTGTGGATCACCTGACACTTCGCAGTGTCATATAGCTAGCCAGTTGTTGAATGAGGTTGATAAAGAATTGGACACTGCAAGCCGTAGTGTTGAAGTAGTTTACAAATTACTTCTCGGTCAACGCTGTCTGGTGGAGGCTTTCTCGAGGTCGATGAAGCTGTTGAGGTAGAAGTTTTGTGGTGAGAGCTGGCTGCTAGCCAAAGTTGTTGACAGTAATTGACGTCAATGCTTATGTCCCCAATATTGGTGGTGAGAAAATGAGAACAAAGGCTTTGCGTAGGCGGATACAGTTAGCTAATGGATGATCTGACACAGCCACAAAGAGATGCAAGGTTAACTTTCTGTGAGAAACAACCAGTCAAAAGACTGTATTTTCTACTAACAATAATCTACAATAATGTACATTAAAATCTATAAATATGTGTTGATTTTCCTTAATAAACGATCTGTTGCCTGGCCCTTGTCTTCTGTTGTTACAGTTTGACTGCCATTCTGTGCTTTGTTCTGTGATGACGATGCGTAAATTTGCGATTTGATCAGCATACAATTTGTCTTTCCTGAATCTGACTGGTTAAGTTCGGCATCTAGAACATCCTTTCCTCTCTCCATGGTGAGGCAACTTAGTTATTGTACTTGGCGTGGAGAAGTGTATTATTCCACTGCAGTTCTTGCACATGCCTACTTCACCCTTCTTTGGTAGCTTGACGAGGTAACTTGGCTTTCTTCCAGCCAGTAGCCACCATTCCTGAAAATTAAACCTTTTGCAATAATGGCATGAGCATATCTGTCTCTGGGTCCATTTTCAGTGCCTCGGCGTGGGAGAACTCCATCTGGTTCCGCCGCCTTCCCTGCCGGCGTGGAGTAGTTTGATCGCATTCAGGATTTCTGTTTCCGTTGGAGCATTGGTGTCCACTGGCAGGCAGTTCTCTGCGTGCTGTAGGTAAGGATGGTATTTGTGGGCGAGTTGCAGGTGATGGTCGATTCAACAGTCCATTAAAGTGATCAACCATTTGTTTCTCCTTCTTGCTAATCTGGTTTCCTTGATCATGTTTTATTGGTTTCATCATCTGGGTTGACCTCTTTCCAGATAGCGAGCAGCCTGGTTTTCTGATATCATGTCCTGAAATCTCTTTTGCCTGTGGCTTGCTCTACTTCAGTTGCCAGTCAGTGTGTCGTAGAATTGTCTTTCGTCTTTCCTAGCACTCTTCTTCACTTCTTTCCTTATTCAGTGCAGTGTACATTGTTGTGAACTCAGCTTCCCTTTCTGTTATCTATCTTTGCATTGAGTCATTTTCTCTTTCACCATCCTCCTCTCTTCTATTAGCTTCCAGGTGTCCGTTGAGAGCCATTCCTTGTCTTGTCTCTTCTTTCTCCCTAGAACATTTGTACACGCTTCCTTGAATATCGCCTTCAGAGAGTTCCAATGTTCTTCCACACAGGTTTCCTCAGCGATGCCCTGTGGTGTATCCAACTTCCCTCTGATTTGATCTGTGATGAAGGTATCCCTTATAGTTTTGTCCTTCAGTTTCTGAATGTTGAAATCTAACTGTGGCCTGTCTCCAGTTGTTCTGACGGATTTCAGCTTCACCTTGAAGGATTTTTGAACTAGATGATGGTCTGAGCCCACATCTGCTCCCATTCTCGACTTTGTGTCCAGCAAGCTGAGTCTCCACTTCCTTGAGCAACATTGAGATTAAATCTGTCTGGTTTGTGCTGTGTCCATCAGGCGAAATCCATGTTGCTTTGTGTATATCCTTGTGTTTGTACACACTGCCTCCAATCACCAGATCATTGAAAGCACAGAGGTCTGCGAATAATTCTCCGTTCTCATTCGTTTCTTCGGGCAAATGCCTCTCGACCCATTATGACTTCTCTTCCTATATTATCGGGTCCCAGTTTGGCATTCACGTGGCGCATAAGGATTTTGATATGGTCACTTGGTATGTTGTCCATTACTGTTTTCAGTTGTCTATAAAAATCTTCCTTCTTCTCTTGTTTCGCGTTGTTCGTAGCACTGGATAATTGTGACCTCCCTTCCTTTTGACCTGAATCTTGCTGTCATTATCCTGGATGAAATTAGTTCTCACTGCATTAGGGCTTTGGCTGCCGCTGGCCACATCATGATGGCCACCCACTGCCTCAGTGTGCTCGTGATTGTCGTCTGGGTGACCAGACTGACTCTCCAGTTGACGATTTCGACAATTCGCATCTATTCCACCTACTCTCGAAAACACCCAGCATTTCTATGCCATATCGTCACATTTCTGTGGCTACCTGAACAGCCTTCCCAGTCTCGTACTCTGTACGGACATTCCACGTCCCCATTTTTATTTTTGCTTTCATCGAGAGAAGACACATCGGATGACTGACTGGCTTCCCAAAGGCTTTGACCAGCCGGCTGTGTCATTTTGCTTCTCCAATTCCAGCGAATAATAGGATTATTAATTGACTTTTTTCGTATTTTTAATACATTTTTTGTGCGTTGAAGTTCCTCTGGCAGTTTAGTAGCTTTTGTAGTGTAGAGTTGCTAGCCCCACAACCAACCCTCCCTATTCATCCGGGATTGGGACCGGCCAGAAAACTAGCAGAGGTTTGAAAAAGGATTAATTAGAAATATTTCAAACATTTGGGATGAAGCACATGATTTATTCTGATTCCCAATTGGAGTTTGACCTGACTAACATTTTCTTTGGGTTCACTGATATTTCGGAGCAAATATCCTGGGGTATACCTAGTTTTTTACAGACAGCTGAAATGGTTAGCTGCCTTCAGGGTGATCCAAATTGTCACTTAAACTCATGGTGCATACTGTTTTCAAACCTTAATTGGGCTTGAAATTTACATTTCAGGGTTTTTTCAGATTCAGATTATAAGGATAGAAGGCTCTTGTTGCCTATGTTAATCCTCGCGATATATATCTCTGCAGAGATCTAGTTTCTCTTTGAAAGCGTTCACCGATGGAGCTGTTATTACTGAATCAGGTAAGGAGTTTCAGTCTGTGAGAGAATATAAACTCCAAATGTATTTTATTCAACCTCGGTTTGAGCACCTTCTTGTGGTGACCTCGTAAATGTATCCTAGAGGGAGAGAAAAGGTTTGAAAGGTCAATCCCTAAATCACCCTTGAATATACGGTAAGCCAAAATTAAGTCGCCTCCCCCCCCTTCGGTATGGTAATGGGAAGAGATTTAAATACTTCATCCTCATATCATAAGGAAGGTGTGAAATAACACTAACTAGTTTCGTTACTAAGTCCAGGATTGTGCCCCATGGCTTCTATAAGATCATGAAATGTAAGGTTCATTTATGAAATATTTCTGTAGTTGTAATTATAGCTGAGTTCTCCGGCCACCTAGTATCGTCAAGAGACGTTGAAGACATTATGGACAAAGTAACGCAATTCTACTTTTATAATTTGAAAGATCGTGTTCAGAGGCGTATGCTGAAGAGAGGAAGTCAGGTAATATTGCGAGATGCCTACTTACTTTTATAAGCCGCGGTTTAATCAACATGTAGTAATCACAACACTGATTTTATTCTTAGGCAAATAAGGAAGAAACCTTGGCAGTTATGAGGGTATACCGTTCCCAGTGTGAATGCTGGAAATGTAATGAACAGAAGTTTTCATCAACCAATCTTATCATTAGCTTGCTTGCAGAACGCTCCCAGTCGACCTCGCTTGACGGATTTGTAATGACAACGTACTATAATATTAAAATATATAGTTCTCCAAATAATAAAAATCGATTTACTTCTGCAGGTTAAATCAATTGCGTCACCATAAGATACATATATTGATAATTATCAGAAGTCTTTTTGTTCTAAAGTAATGCCAGTCAGTGCTGAATGTGGGCAAAGAAGGCTGAAACAGCAATGAACCAACAGGTCCTTAGCTACATCAAAAAGTGCCCCAAAAGGCACAGGGTTTTGAATTAGTGTCAATCATACTGAAAACCAGCAGTGAGTTTTAGATTGTAAGCATAATAAAACCATTTCAGAACTTTGTCGTTATAGAATGTTAGAGGTAGATTAGATTTTGCGAGATTTACTTTGGTATTATTGTAAGTTTGGGCATAATCGATCGAGTATACTCGATTATATTTCGCCACAAACTTAAAGTTGACTTATTTTACGATAACTTAGCCATGTAAATTATTTGTGAAACCGGGAGACTCACTGACCTTCAGAGCATATATTGCGGTATTTATCTCACCATTGACATTATATGTATACAAACAAGTGCTTATTTCACTGTTGAATTGGATAAGAGTAGCACCGGCACTAAGTTTTCAGACATCGAGTGTTTGTACTAATGAAAGCTGAAAAATACTCTTGGTGCAGGAAGAAAATGATTTAATTTTATAACACCGGTCATATAAATTAGAGTGTGGGCTGAATTTTGATTGTCCCAAAAATACTTCTTCTATTTGCTCTTATCACCCTCTTTTTGACAACAAGTGTTAATAAGCCACTTTCAGGAATAACATTCAAGACTATTGTATGGTGTGAGTTTAACCGTTGTAAGTGTAAACCAATTCATTAAATTCCAGTACTGTGCCACTTCATTCTCCGATTTCAGAAAGTCCCACCCCCAAGATACCGCTGGCATCTCATTATGCAACTTCTGGATCTGAAACGTTGATGCACAGACCAATATTTCTTAGTGCAACTGTTAGAAACATGTAGCTGTAGGTAATTCTCCAGAATTATTGGCCACAGCATTCACCACTAAACATTGGATGCATCAAATAGTCCATGGGTATCCCCACGGCATATTGTACCGAAAAAAGATAGCAACGATTGGTGACCCACTGGTGATTGATGGCGAGTGAACGCCAAAACAACCCCTTGACTGCTATCCATTGCCTCACATACACGACTTGACGGCAACATTATCTCGAGCAACTATATTCCCGAAAATAGACTTGGTTAAAGCGTATAACCAAACCCTGATGGCGCCAGAAGATATTCCGAAGACGGTTATCAATACACCTTTCGGACTTCTTGAATTTCTATGCATGTCACTTGCTCTCCGGAATGCAGCACAAACATTCTAACGTTTCATTGATGGAGTATCTCGTGGTCTTGACTTTGTGTACGCATTCTTAGACGACTGCCTCATTACCAGTCCAGACAAGGAAACTCGCCTCAGACACTTGGAGTTGGCATTCGAAAGGTTACGCCTACATGGTGTTACCATCAATATTCAAAAGTGTCAAATATCCATTGACTCACTCGACTTTCTAGGCCACACCATTGACTACAAGGGCATTCGCCCACTGGCTACTGGCGATACTGAACTTTCCAGAGCCACATACAGTGGAAAGTCTGAGCAATTTTAACGGCTTGGTAAGTGATTACCGACAGTTTATTCCCAACTGTGCCTCTCTGATTCAGCCATTACAGATCTTCCTCGAAGAAACAACAAGTCCATCGAACTCGAAGTGTCTGCTAAAAATGCTTTCACTCAGGTTTAAAAAACTATCGCGGATGCCACACTTCTAATGTATCAGGATCCAAAGGCACCGTTAAGTATCTCGGTCGATGCATCGGACACTGCAATCGGCGCAGTTCTGCAACAACTAGTTAACAAAGAGTGGCAACCACTCGCCTTTTTCTCGAGGCGCCTTCAATTAGCTGAAACGAAGTACAGCACATTCAGAAGAGAACTTCTCGCTATGTACTGTGCTATTCGCCATTTTCGACACTCAGTGGAGGGTCGTGAATTCATAGTTTTCACTGACCACAAACCTCTGACGTACTCTCTGAACTCAACTTCAGATAAGTATTCACCTAGGGAATCACGACAACTGGACTACGCTTCACAGTTTACATCGGATATTCACTGTATCCGGAATGAACAACACTGTGGCAGATGCCTTGTTGCACATTTGTTCCCTTGCCCAAATAGATGGCATAGACCTTGTGAAACTGGCTCGTCTTCAAAAAGAAGATACCGAGCTTCAACATGAGTTGCCGAAAACAACTCTACAATTAGCCGAGAAACCCTAAGGTATGGGGAGAGTCACTGTTCTATGTGACATTTCCATGAGTACTCCTTGCCTATCGTGCCTAAAAGTTATCACCGTAACGTCTTCAACACGTTGCATGGCTTATCCCACCCAGGTATTCGAACTACCGTCAAGCTGGTAACTAGACAGTTTTGTTGGCCTGGTACTAATAAAGAAGTAAGGAAATGGGGACACGCGTGCTTAGCTAGCCAAAAGTGCAAGGTAGTAAGACACACCAGAACCTTCTTGACACCTTTCTTATCCCGGAAGCTCGCTTCGAAAACGTTCATGTACATTTGGTTGGACCCCTTCACACGATGGCCTGAGGCAGTACCACTGAAGGATGTATCTGCCGAAATAGTCGCACTCGTCTTTCTCGAACGATGAATGGCAAACTTTGGGTGCCCATCCTCCATAACAACTGATCGCAGGCGGCAATTCGAAAGCGGCTTATTATTTGCCTTGACTAAAATCATTGGTTGTATGAGTTTAAGAACAATAGCCTGCCATCCTCAAGCTAATGGTATGATAGAACGTCTACACAGAAAGTTGAAGGCTGGGTGATCAGCTGCAATCAATGCACACTGGACTGGATCACTACCGTTAGTTCTCCTAGGGATACGAAATGTCTTGAAAACTGACACTGGTTGTACTGCTGCCAAACTAGTATATGGCACAACACTACGACTGCCAGGTGAGTGTGTTTCTCCCTCGAGTTTCCCACCAGTGTAGGCCACGCCTCATACATCAGCAGACTTACAAACGCAATGCGTTCCGTTAAACCTGCTCCCCTTCGACCACAGTCCATAGATGTCGTGGTTCACCCGTGTTTGAAAACTTCACATGTATTTGTTCGTCCACACTCTGTGGGTCGCCCTCTGGAACTTTCATATGATAGACCACATAAGTTCATTAAACGTATGGATAAATTCTTTGTCTTAGACAAAAAGGCCTTGAAGACACCGTTAGCACCGACCGTCTGAAACCAGCCCACTTAGAAGTCAATCCCATGGGCCTAGAGCAGAGCACTCCCAATAATACACAAGTAACCGAATATCCTCGAAGAAATCACTAGCATGGCGAAAGCCACCGAACCTTCTGCTGAGCCCTCAAAGAAAACGCACTCTGGACGAAACCTGAGATTCCCAGAACATCCTTACACTTATATCACATAACTAAGTGGTGCGATTCACCCGATTCTTATTCGCTTGCAGTATTTATTATTTTTCTCTCGGACACATCAATTTTTATGTTGCATCCCGCAACACAAGTTAAAAACATTTTATAACTGCACACGTTACATTCAATAGAAAAAGTAATATATTTTATTCGATGTTCTAGTTTTCGTATTGTTTTACTGTATGGTAGATGCATATTATCATTCAAACGTTATTTTTGGTTTGTTTTCCTCAGCAAGTTTCTTAGCATTCTTGTTTCTTTTCCAGGTACGACAGGTACTGGACAAGATTCAAACGAAGCACGAGATCCAACAAATAAACAGAAACGGAACGATGTGCAGACACCCTATTAGCATAGGTAGACGACCGGTAGACACTACATCAGGCCGATCGGAAGAGTTTTTTTACCGATGGGAAAACAATTGTGCATTTTTACTCCTGGGTGGTTTTGTCTTAGGGTCCTCACAACCCAACTAATGGGAGTGAGCTGTAGCGGTGGGTAATTCTCCAGAATTATTGGCCACAACATTCTCCACTAAACGGATGCTGACCCTCACTGTTTAAGTCAAGTCGTTTAGCTGAAGGCTTCCGGTCAAGCATCTAGGCCATTTGGTACTCCGTCGTGTCACGTTTGTTCGTTCGTGCACGATCCCTAGCTAGTTAAGCAATCATCTCGCACTCCGATTTGGTCCCGAAATATAACTCGTAATTTGGACGGTCAGTTCTGGTGTTTTACTTTGTCTCTGGTCTACGCGGAACGAATACCATAGAATTTGTGGACATTAGATCTTGCATTAGTATGCTTCGTACTATTCATTAAAGTCAATACATTCAGCCTCTAAAAACACTTCCTCTGACTTATAAGTACTTAATGTCATCTCAAAATATTGCATTCATTCGATTAAGTTAAAAAGCATGAGAGATTTATGTCCATTCATTATTAAAAAGTAAGTGTAATTCAGGTTTATATTTTATACCCATCTAGCTGAGAGCTGCTTTTCTTGAAAAACTGAAACGTCACGTGATAATTATGACAATGGAAACGTGAAAATGAAGGCTGAAACTCATTGGCTTCAAAATGTGCGTTTTTTGCACAGCTGCGTTCATTGTTGAAGTAAAAGGAAACACTTATTGGTGAAGTACTTGTGTGATACGCACGAAGAACAGTGCGGTCATGAAACGTTCGCTCCAATGAGAGTGAACTTTGTGTTATGCATCGGATCTTCTCTCCATGTTCTGACTTCATTGCGCCTTTCTTCTGTTTGCGCTTCACATCCCTGACGGTGTCTTTCCCTCCTGTCCGCAGCCTCGTCATATTCCAATCTCGGTGAGGGGGATGGGTTTTTCTTTGTATTTAAATATGTGGCTTTCTTCCATACGTCAACTGAAATAGTGGCTTATTCGTTGTTTCCTTAGTGGAGGCACGATGTGGAAGTAGAATCAATGGAAGCTCTCTCTCCGAATTACCTTCCCTCGACTCTATCCACTCCTTCATTGTACGGTTATTTCTAACCATTTCAAACCATTCGTTTGTAAATGATATGGTTTTTGTTCGGATCTTCTCTATCTCCAGCCGTTGCAAACAGGATTTAAATCCGTCACTTTCAAAACAAAGATTCTGATCTATCAATATCTTCTTTCGTATTCCACGGTCTGCAACGACGTTTCGAACTACTTAGTCAGTCACAGGTCTCACGTATTGACTTAGGATTGCGACAGCATCTGGCCACCGTTTAGAGTGTTCTGTCATTACCAAGGTTTTTTGAGAATAAATGAATATCTGCAGAAACGGACCCACTATATCTGCGGACCGCAAGTCACCTACTGCGGTATTTGGAATCACCTGCATAGATGGTCGTGTGCACCGATCTCCTTTCATCAACTGGCACTGCGGACATCCAAGTACATATTTTGCCACATCTTCCCTCACCTGGTCAGCGCATGCTTCGTCTCAAGCGGCCGGTTGATCTGGCCACTTCTGTATGCACTAGCTGGTGACATTCTTGTACTATCTGAT